GGGCCTGACTAAGAAAATGCTGTTTGTAGGCCTACTGGACAATTTTGCAGTAAGAATGATTGAAATTATGTCTCTACTTATAATGTTTCTTGGGAGAATACTTCTACCTTTGAAGACAATGACCTAGAATAACCTAATTTAGGGAGAATTTTCCAAATAAAGTCATTGGCCTTCTAATGTTCTTGACACCCTACATAAGTGTATGCTACACAAGTGTGAGGTGAAGAGAGCTTGCTTGTAAGGGTTAGATTATAAAGTTATCACAGAGAGCCAAAATCGAATATAGTCCAAATTTAAGAATATCACATTTTAGATGGTATTTTTCCCACTAATTCAAATATACCTAATTTATTTTCCTAAAGAGTTATTATTATTATTTTTTTGTAATTAGGTAAGATTTTTAAGAATAAGAAAAAATGCTAGAATCTCACTTGACAAAGTATCTCATTCTCTAGGAATCACTCCAGAGCTGAGACCTCCTAAGGAAATGGTGAATTCACATCCCTTCCTGTAGTTCTAAGTGTCTTGAGGGTCATGCCAGGCTGGGACACTTCATTTGTGTTTTATAATAGTGTTTTGGTATGTTTACTTCTCTCTCTCTGTGCGTGTAAGCATATATAATTGGGTTTACATCATTTGTACCTAGAAGGTACCTTCATTGCAATACCACTTGTTTTTCCTTGCATTTTCTCTATTTATTTTAAAAAGTGAGTTTTGCAACTTACTCTGAATACTTTTTGAACCTTTAAGGTAGATAAATATGCAAGCCCCTCTGTGGTGCCGGGCTTATCATAGACAACCAGTAACTGTGTATCCCTTTCACCCTCCCCCTTAGCACTCTCATCTGTCACTGAAATCTTAGGTTTTACTTCAATGTGAATACATTCACGATGGAATCCTAGCCCTGTCCTCTCTGTTACGTTGCAGCTCTTGTCTGAGTTTAGGGAGCAAGATTTTCTTCCCATAAACTCACTGTACCTAGAGTGAATTCATCACCTTCCATTTTATTTTAAGATAAAGAGCCAAGTTTAAATGTGAATTCCAGCAACTTCTATTGGTGAACTTGAGCACATTATCTAATCATGTCTATGTGTTCTAGGGGCAAATACTTTCCAACTTTCTCTCACACTCCTTTGGTTCATTCAACAAAGTTTCACCTCCATAATAGTGTCATTATTGAATATAATTTAAATAAATAATCTAACTAGGGCCTTCAATTTGCCAGCTAGGGAAGCAGTTGTTAAACAAAGCAGAAGGCATTCCTGTTTTCACAGAACTCAGTCTGTTGGACGATCAAGACAAGGAAACAGGCAGGTACAGTAGAGTGTGTTAATTCCTTTGAAGTGCGAGTACAAGAAACATGAACTCAGGGACCTAATCCAAAGAATATCAGAGAATATTTCCGTAAGGTGTGTCTGAGCTGAATTGTAAACAACAAGCAAGACTTAGTCAGGTGAGAAGACAGGGGTATGCGTGAAAGAGCAAGTAGCATGTGATGAAGACCCAACACACCGAGAGAAGCGGCCGCGTGTCAGGAAGCAGGAGAAATCTCATGTAGTTGCAACATGCGATGCCAGAAAGGATTGGGAAGAATTAAGATGAGAGATTAAAGTGTAACTTGCATCATGCAATCTATATAACCCTGTAAAAGAATTTACACTTAACTGTGGCTGCAGGAGAGGACAAGTGGGAGGTGCCGGTGAGAAGTTATGGAACGATAAGCCAGGATGGTAGAAAGAAGAGTGAACTACTGTGTGTGTGGGTTTTCTGCACTTTGTAGTTCAGGTGTGGGTATGGAGAGGGGCCGATGGGTTGATCTTAGATGGGAGGTTTCCTTGGCATGTGATAGGGTTTGGATCTCTGTCCCCATCGAAATTTCATGTTGAAATGTAATCCCCAGGGTTGGAGGTGGGGTCTGCCACCCTTTGGCAGTTGATTCTAGGGATATACAAGAGAGAACTGACAAGGAGGCTTCCAGGTGTGAATAGAGAAGAGCCTGGAGAAACATTGAAATTGCCATCATGAGCATCTAAGAAATCCAGCTGATAAGGAAAACAAAAATAATTGCTGGAGCACACGAAGGTTCTGGTTTATGTGTGGCAACCAGGAATGCATGGTATTACTGCTGTCCAGGGGCTGCATGAGTTTTCTGCACTCATTAGCTCCTCTGTGGGTATGGAGAGAGACCATTGGGTTGGTTTTAGATGGAGGTATCATTGGCAAGTGTGATAAAGGACAAGTGTAAGAGAGATGAAGACAGTAACAAAATCGTAGAAGTGAAGGGCTGTGAGATTAGAAAGTAGAGAAATAAAGGCACTGTGACCATGGGTGAGGGAGGAATTAACTGAGTGAGCAGTCTAAGAAGATCAGAGAATGATGTCATGCTGGAGAATGTGGATTTAATATTTTCATAGTAAATCAGCTCCTAGTGATGGCAAAGGCCAGGTATGCCATGTCATGGTTGAAGTGAAGTAGAGAGGGAGGTCACTAGAGATCAGGAAGTCAACGGCTGCAATTGGAAGCAATTTCTCTGTGGATATTGATGTCACCCAAGATGATAGCAGGAATTGAGGTGCAGGGAATGACAAGAGTCAGGTGCTGAAGTCACAGAAAGTAGTTTTCACAGGGGCAAGACTGCCCACTGGGGCACATTATGGACATTGTGAGGGCACTTTTTTATGTCAAAATGGCTGCTGGGTAGAGGGATGTAGGCTTGGCCTTTCTATAAAACAAAGATCTGACTGCATCCCACAAGACTTCCGTGTGCTGTGCTAGACAGTCAAGGACTGAGTTGATGACTCAGCATGTGGTGGGGTTTCTAGAAAAGTGAACTGTCTTCGGGAACACTGAAGCACTGTCTCATCCCACATACTATTCTTTCTTTTTTGAGACGGAGTCTCTCTCTGCCTTCCAGCCTGGAGTGCAGTGGTGCAATCTTGGGTCACTGCAACCTCCACCTTCTGGGTTCAAGCAATTTTCCTGCCTCAGCCTCCTGAGTAGCTGGGACTACAGGTGCCCATCACCACCTCTGGCTAATTTTTATATTTTTAGTAGAGACAAGGTTTCACCATGTTGGCCAGGCTGGGTCCAAAACTCCTGACCTGAAGTGATACCTGCCCACCTTGGCCTCCCAAAGTATTGGGATTACAGGCATGAGCCATGGCACTGGGCCCCATTACTCTTGGGTAAGCCCAAGTCATTTGTATTATTTTCTTCACTTCAATAGCCTTGACATGTTATCTTAGGTTGTTTCCTTCTCTTTATCATATTCAAGGAACTCTGATTTGTGGTTTATATCCAAACTCTATTTCTTATTCCTGGATTTACATGTACCTCTGGGCTTTTGTTTTCCTGTTCTTTCTTGTGCACCATAGCTCCTGATCATTTAAATCCAAACTTATTTATTATAAGTAGGTGCAGATATCTGACTTGGTTAGGTTTTCTGCTGTAGTCATGTCAAGCATTTACATATTGAAATATATATTGCTTTATTATAAATTATTTTTCTCTCTTTCATGTATTATTTTTAGTTAGGGCAATGTATTAATTTGGAAGGGGGAATTATAAGTTATATTAGCAATTAATTCCATTTCAGGATGTAAATGGGATATTATGGCATATTTATTATAAGAGGGAGAATTGAGAGTTGCCATCTTACAGAACAAGGGAAAGTTGCCAGAGAATTGGTGTTAGACAGGAGTGTAGAGAAAGGTTGAAGGTGGTCATGAACAACCACCTGGGGACAAATGCTTTTATAGAAGGATCAGGGACCTAGAAATGGTATTAGAGCAAGAACGGCACAGTCACTAACTTCCCCGTCTTTGTCTTTGCCCATCCTTTTCCCTCCACCTGGGATGCCCACCCTACTTCTCTTTACACCTGCATGTGCTCCATTGTATGGTGTAAAACCTTATTCTTTCAAAGCCTCCTGTGACCTCCTCAGGGTGGAAGAAGACATAGGCAAGGCAGTGAACAGTCAAGTACCTGGATGCTGTGCTAGGCACTGTGCATGAGCTCTCTCTCAGTTCTTATTCATTCCGCCCAAGAAGCAGAGGGAACGCGTACACTTTTAGAATGAAAATGAAATCTAATGACGCCCTGGCTTTCCCTTTCAGTGTCACCAGATGAGGGCATAGCACATGGAAAGAGATGGGACTCTACCTGAGGGCAGTGTGGTCCTGTAGCTTGTGTCACCCGCTGAACCACACCATGCTTACATGGACCCTGATGGCAGCATTGTGAGAAGCTTTTAGATGGAAAGCCACACTGGAAAGGGGAGACTTATGCCTGTCTAACTTTTGGTTTCAGACTCATGTTGGAAACTGCTCTTTGTTTTTTGTTTTTCTGACCCCAGACTCTTAGTTAACCAGTGAGTTTCTTTAAGATCAGAGTTCATTTATCATCTTTTGCTGTCCACAGAATCTACTGTATGCCTTGCTCCTTATAGGTGTTCAGTGTGTATACGTTGAGTTAAGTGTGTAAGGTCTATGCAAGTTTTCAAATGCTTAAGGAAGTCTATAGCGCAGGAAAAGGTCTCAGCACATGTAAATGTGGCTGATTGTTTTGCAGATGTAAAATGCAAAACTGAATTTGCATCCCAAATAAAGTCAGGGTGAAAGACTTTGTTTGATTAAGACCTAAAAACAATTAAAATGGACATTATCCCTATGTGGATTGTGCAATCTCATTTCCTTAGGTGCACATATACTTTAGGCTCTTGTGGGGAGCTTATTATTTGGTAATATTTAGATACTCTTGAATATATCTCATTTAAATATAAATCCTTTTTAAGGAAAAGGTGAGGATTTCAATTGGAAAAAGTAAAAAAGCAACAAAAGAAATCTAGGGTTTTCTTGTCTCCAAGTTACTGGAAATAATCTCTTCACTTAGAATACAAAGCTGGATCCATGTTTTCAATCTGTCTTAGAGATTCATGTTAGTGACAGAAATGTTTTTGTGGTGTTTTGTTTGATAATGAAGTTCCGTTACTCTGTTTTCAGGTCCTGTGGGAGTAGGGCTGAATGAACTGAAACGAAAGCTGCTGATCAGTGACACCCAGCACTATGGCGTGACAGTGCCCCGTGAGTTCTGCGCTAGTGTTCCCATGACTACACACGATAATTTTTAGAATTTTTTAAAATTATTTTTATAATTATTGTGGGTACATAGTAAGTGTATATATTTATGGGGTATATGAGATGTTTGATATGGGCATGAAATGCTGAAATAAGCACATCATGGAGAATGCAGTATCCATCCCCTCAAGCATTTATCTTTTGAGTTACAAACAATCCAGTTACACTCAATATCTTAAAAAATATACAATTAAGTTGTTATTGACTATAGTAACCCTGTTGTGCTATCAAATAGCAGATCTCCTTCATTCTTTGTAACTGTTTTCTTTTCGTGTTCGTTAATAATAACGAATGGGTAATACTTTCCAAGCACTGTTCTGAGCACTCACTCATCTAGACCTCCTAGCTACCCGAAGAAGAATACAGCGACATTATCCCCATGTTACAGAGGAGGAAACCAAGGCAAAAGTGGTTAAAAATGTGCCCTAAATTACACAGATTTTCGGCAGAATATTTATTAATCACAGCGTCCCTACTCTTAGGCTTGTATGGTGAATTTTAGTACATATATGACATCAAATTACTACTTACAAATTTTCTTCTAAATAAAAGTCTAACAATTCTGTTTTCTAAAATAAGTGCTAATGTTTTCCAGAGTTTTTCAGCAGCTTTAAGATTAGAAGAATCAAATGATAGAGAGCTGAAGGAGACTTATTATAATATAAATCTTTCTTAATTACCTTTTATATGTAGTAAATAGCAGATAGTGTTAAATGGGCTTTTCGTGGCTGTATAGTTTAAATATGGTATGTTTCTTTTCAGTACACAGAATTAGATTTATTTTTATAAAACTGGTTTTCATAGGCATTTTTACAAATAAAATGTGATGCTTGAAACATTTTGATCTGCAGAATAAATGCCATTTGACTACTTAATATGTTGATATTAGAAAGCTGTCTAAAAGCCTAAATTGAAATGTTGGCTTTTTCAAGTGGTTTTAGTACTGTTTTAAAAATTTTGCTTGTATATTGCCCTTAGCGACGTTCTCTAGTTTTGGAAGAGTTCAGCTTCATTTTAAAATTATAGTTTTCTATGACCTCAACTTCCTTCTTTATACTACGTTTTCCAAATTATTGTTTGTAATCATTTTCAGACATAAGTTATAGGACTGCTACTTTCTAGCACACATTACCAAGATGAAAGGAAAGGAAAATGTGGAACTAGACAGTTTCTTATTTTTTTCCTGTAATTATTCACTTCTCTTACAAAAACTGAATTACAATATGCAAGTTGTTAGAAAATTTTACAAAATAATTTTTAAGCTTACAAATGAGCAATTATATAAGAGACGTAGAAGATGCAAAAACAGATTACAAAGAAAAAAACAAATTTTTAAACTTCCTACTGTGTATTCTTCTCTTTGATTTTTCTTAATTTTGTAGCCTTCCCAGCAAAGTATGAGAAGGTTGATATTATCTCTGTTTCACAGAGAAGAAGATTGGGATAGAAAGGATGTGTTGACTTGAGTTCCATAGATGATAGGTGGACTTGGATTTAAAACCAGGTTTTTTTGTTTTTTTTTTTTTCTCAGTTCCTATGTTCTTCCTCTTCTATACTACTAGCTGTCCTTTAAAACTACAGACTCTCCTGGTTGTATTCCAGTAAGTAGTCAAAAGGATTTCTTTTGAAGATGAGAAATATCCATAAGGCAATCTATCCCACTAACTCTCTGTGATAGATGTGGTATTATGGAAGGACCTAGGGCAAGGCACTTGAGTCTCAATTTACCCAGCTGTTTAAAAGTTTGCCTCTCAAGTTGTTATAGAAGTTGACAATATTCTAGAAACGTTGTGGGGCTGGGACTCTCCAAAGAAATCCCCAAAGTTATTTTTTACTCTGATTTACTTTTAGACAGATGTTAATGTCAAAAGATCTTCATATAGCAATGTTTCACAGGCTTGCCTGATGAAAAGAATCTCTTGGAGTTCTATAAAAAGATATGCCGGATTATCTGTCTTTATAGCAGATGATTCCTGGTATCAGACATGTTTGGAAAACACAGCATCAAGCCAAGGTGATTTAATAAATTAGAATATATTTTAAGAGTAATTTTAGAATTTTAGATAGTTTTGCTTTATAAAATACTTTGTGCAGAGTCTTGAATATTGGAGAAAAATGATTGCTTTGATTATACCACCAGTATTGTTTGATGTTTATTTCCATAATTTTGTTTTTGAAAGCATGTATTACATATCCACCAGAAAAAAGTATGGACCAAAGGAACTCCTGCACATTGCTGATGGGATTGCTGCATAATCATTTTGGAAAACTAAGTTGCAGTATCCACTAAAGCTGAGCAAACACATACCCTGTGACCCAGCAATTCTGCTCCTACTGCCTACCCAATGGAAATGCATAAACACGTTCACCAAAAGACACGTACTGAGATATTCTTAGCTATTCATAAAAGTTCAAAACTGAAAACTACCCAATACTTATCACTTGAATAAGTAGAATGAAGAAGTCTAGTACATGCATACAATGGAATACTGTAATGCAATGAGAAAGAACAATCTGCAACTACATGCAACAGTAAGAATGAATCCCACAAATGTGTTGAGCAAAAGGAGGCAGACCCAAGAGAATAATGAGGCAGTATGATTTCATTTTTATAATTGCAATAAAAGCAACATTCATGTCTGCTCTTAGAAATGTCAAGGAGTTGGGTTAGAACAGGAACCCAAGAAGTGATTCTGAAGTGCTAGCAATTTTTTGCTTCTTGTTAGAGTGCTGGCTGCATGGGGTGTTAAACCTGTGAAAAGTAAGGAAGTTATATACACTTTTATGTGTATATATGAGTTATTGTATCATACTCAGGCTCTTAAATGTTAAAAAGAAATAATAGTTTATTAACTGTAGTTTGCTGATTTTCTGGTTTTCCTAAAAATGCTGTAGTTATGTAAATATTTCAAGAGGAAGCTGAGTGATTTTACATGGGACCTCTCTGTACAATTTTTGTAATTACTTGTGAATTTGTAATTACCTTAATTTAAAAAAAATTATTTAAATAGATGCTAAATCAGGTAAATACCCGAGCTAAAATGACTGAATGAGCTATATGAAGTCTTTAAAAATTATCCATGTAATAATATTAAACATTCAAAGTTGCTTTCCAAGAAAGTGGTGGCTGAAACTCTCACTTTCTGCGTTTTGCTTCTCTGTGGGAAGTTTCTTATTGATTGATTGTAGAGATGAAGTCTCACTACTTTGCCCAGGCTAATCTAATCTCAAACTCCTGGCCTCAGATGATCCTCCTGCCGCAGCCCCTTAACATGCTGGGATTTCAGATGTGAGCCACCATGCCCAGCTTGTGGGAAATTTCCTCCTTGAAAAGCAACATCAACATCGTTTTAAGGCCATAGGTTATCATCAGTAAATCTGAATGACTGTTAATACAACCAGTCAAAAGGATCTTGTGTGCATTACATTAAAATAAAACAGGTAACAAAAAGTATTACAGTAGACATCATATATTTGATGGATTCCAAAGTCTGTGTAGTTTAGAATTTGGGCATTCTGAGTCAACCACATCTGTTAATCACTTTCTATGATTCCCAGAAAGACATCTATTGCAGTTTTTGTGTTTTTGTAGGTTTTCAAGCATCCATGCTCTAGAAAACTTCTTTGTCCATAGGATACCTCACTTGCATTTTCTTAAAAAAAATTTAAAAAAGATAGTATAAGTAGGGTACCAGTTAAAAATTTTTTTTTCCTATCTCCCCAGGACAGCCATTTTGGGATATTTTGGGGAAATGGGGAAAGGGCTCCTATTTTGTTTCCTATTTTGCCTTAATCTGGGAACACATTGGGTACTCAGTGAGCTGTGACAAAGTTGTGCCTGCCTTGTGGTTAACGTGCACATCTTTCCCTTTGAGTCTCCTTCTCATAAGGATTTCAAATCTCTTATTCAGGATTCCTCATTGTGAATGAGGTCATGAGGTTCCTATGAAACTCATTATAATTAGGCCCTGACATTCTTCATCAGTAAAATAACATCAGACCTGGGTAATTCAGGTTGATTATGATAAGCAAACAATTTGGTTGTAGACACATTATAAATGCATTTGGTGATGTCATCAATGTCTTATTCAATTACCACTTGATGTGGTTCTAAAAATATTTTAACCCTGTTGTGGGATGCTATGTATCAGGGAAGTAATCTTTCAACCATGTGTTGCAGATTTTCAACCAAAATGTCCTGCCATCACAATTGAATAAAGACAATCTTTTCTCTGTCCATAAGAAAGAAATCAATGCACAGAAATTCTCAATTTTGATTGTCAGCAATACTTTTTACTTAGGCCAACTATTTGCTGAAGGAACACTAGCAAATAGCAACAACAAAACTGATTAAGTAATAAATGAACATTAAGCCTAAACTCCAAAGCAGAGCATTATACTAATTTTAATATTGCTCATGTTCTTGGATATTAATTGAGTAATATACACTCAGTAGGGTATTTTTCTGTTGTAAAGCTTTAGGCTTTATGATAGAATACAATGTACCAGTTTAGAATACAGTGTACCAGTACTTCATGCTGTTCCTATAAAGCATATGACATTTCATTTCAAAGAGTAGCACTACCTCTTGGTGTGCCACCTGCAGAGCAGGTATTAAAAACTGTTTAAAGAGATCTGAACATTGTATTAAAATATTCTTGCTAACTAAATAAAAGGGAATTAAACTTTGGGATGTAATTTAAATTAGTTGAGTTTTATCCATTACATTTTCTATTAAGTTACATCCCGCCCCCCCACCCACTGCTTCTCAGATTATTTTTTGTAACATCAAGATGTAATTGGAATAAACTGCATATATTTAAAAATACACAATTAGATCAGTTTTAGCATCTGCATACACATGCAAAATCATCACTACAGCCAACATAATGAATGTTTCCATCTCAAAAACTTTCCTTGTGCTCTTGGTAATCTAGTCTTGCAACCTGTTCCCAAGCAACCACTGATCTGTATTCTGTCACTATTGATTATTTGAAATGATTTACTGTGTTACCTAAATAGGATTACACAGTATGCATCCATTTTTTTCTTTGCCAGACTTTTTCCACTCAGCATAATGAATGTAAGATTCACCCTTGTTGTTTCCTACATCAATAATTCATTCCTTTTCATCCCTCTTCATGCTGAATAGCATGCCATTGTATAGAAATACCACTATTTGTCTATCCATTTACCTGTTGATGAATATTTAGGGGTTTCTCCCTCTATCCCCATTTTTGGCTATCATAAATAAAGTTATTACAAGGTTTTTGTACAAGTCTTTTGATGCATATGTGTTTTTATTTCTCTTTGGCCAAATAAGTAGGAGAGGAATGACAAGACCATGTGGTTTAATTTGTTAGGAAACTACTAAACCGATTTCCAAAGTAGTTATACCATCTTACAAACCACTAGTAGCACATGTGAGCTCTGGGTGTTCCACATTTTTGCCAACACCTGGTGTAGTCAGTCTTCTAAATTTTTGTCACCATCAGTATGTAGTGGTATCTCATACTTCAGTTTGCGTTAACTAATGACTAGCGTAATTTTATGCAGCAGTCCCCAACCTTTTTGGCACCGGGGAGCAGTTTCATGGAAGACAATTTTTCCACAGACACGACAGGAGGGGATGAGGTCAGACATACTGTTCCACCTCAAATAATCAGGCATTAGATTATCATAAGGAGGGCATAATCTAGGTCCCTCGCACATGCAGTTCACAATTGGGTTCATGGTCTTATGGGAAACCAGTGCCATAAGGGGGTGGAGCTCAGGTGATAACACTCCCTTGCCCACCTGCTGCTCACCTTCTGTGTGGCCTGGTTCCTAACAGGCCATAGACCAGTGTTGCTTGGGGGTTGGGGACTCCTGATTTTATGAATTCAGCCATTTATATATCTTCTTTGGTAGAGTGTGTGTTTAAATATTTTAACCATTTTTTTTTAAGACAGAGTCTTGCTCTGCTGCTCTGGCTAAAGTGCAGTGGTGTGCTTTGGGTCACTCCAACTTCCACCTCCTGGGTTCAAGCGATTCTCCCACCTCAGCCTCCTGAGTAGCTGGGATTACAGTTGTGTGCCACCATGTCTAGCTAATTTTTATATTTATAGTAGAGATGGGGCTTCACTATTTTGGCCAGGGTGGTTTGGAACTCCTGGCCTCAAGTGATCACCTGCCTCAGACTCCCAAAGTGGTGGGATTACAGGTGTGAGCCACCATGTCTGGCCCATTTTTAAAAAGTGGATTGTTTGTCTAATTACTGAGTTTTGAGAGTTCTACTCATAGATACCTGTTCTTCATCTGATAAATGTGTTACACATATTTTCTTCCAGTCTGTGACTGGCCTTTTCATTTTTTTTTTTAATGGTGTCTTTTAAAAAGCAAAAGTGTTTAATTTTGATGAAATCTAATTTATCAATTTTTCTTTTATGTTTTGTAATGTTCCTGTTCTATGTAAAAGTTATTTGCTATCTCAAGGTTGCAAAGATATTCTGTTGTCTTCTAGAAGTTTCAGTTTTAGGTTTTACATTTAGATCTTGACTCATTTCAAGCTTGTTTTTCATGTTGTTATTTAGCACACTTGCCTCGCTCCTGATCTCAGGGGAAAACAGCTCCATCTTTTACCATTAATATAATGTTGGCTCATTGAGGTCCTTTATCAGTTTGAGGACATTACTGTTACTCCTACTTTGCTGAGACTATTGTGAATGCTGTCGAAGTTTTAAAAAATGCTTTCTTTGCATGCATTGAAATGATTGTCTTGGCTGCCATTAATTTCTTAATTTTATGAATTCTACTGCTTTTCTAATGTTAAGTCAACCTTTGGTATATATATATAGATAGATAAATAATTTATATTATATATTTTATATATATTTCTATTTATTTTCATTTATATATAAACAAATGTTATATTTAAATGTATATGTTATATATAAATAAATTTATATATATAAAGCCAACCTTTGATATATATAGTAAATATATATATATAAAATTATGGAAATGATTAAATTTAAGCTACTATTTTCTTATTTGTTTTCCGTTTGTTTCCTCTGTATTTTATTGCATTTGTCTTCCTTTTCTGCCTTCTTTTGGATTGAATCCTTTTTCGTTTCCATTTTAGTCTACCCATTGACTCTCTGGTGGTATCTCTGCATTCATTTTTTACTGGTTGTTCTAAATATTAAAGTATGTATATCTAACTATTTGTGGTCTGCTTGGAGTTTAACTTGGTGTCAACTCACATAAAATATAGAAACCTGGCAACCATTTAAGACCCTTTCCCCCAGCCTAATCTTTTTGTTTTAGGTGTCAAGTGTATTACATTTGCATACATTGAAAACTCTATCAGACAATATTATAACTTGTCTTTAAAATGATCATATATATCTTAATGAACCTAAGAGGAAAAAAGTAGACTTTTACATTTACACAGCTATTTGTTTTTTCCTCATTCCTGAAAATAGAAATTTCCTCCTCATCATTTCTCTTCAGCCTAAAAAACTTCCTTGATTATTTCTTTTAGAACAGTCTGCTGGGGAATTCTATTAGTTTCTCTTCATCTGAGGAGGTCTTTATTTTGCCTTTATTCTTGAAACCCATTTTGATTAAGTCTTTTCCTTCAATGCTTTAAAGATATTTCATTGATTTCTTATTATTATGATTTATGTTAACATATCTGTGACAGTTTAAGTCATTATTCACTTATGTGTTATGTGCCTTTTCCTAGCTGCTTTGAGATTTTTAAATTTATCTTTGGGTTTTAATAGTTTGGTTATAATATATCTGGGCATAATATTTTCTTCTGAGTGTATCCTGTTTGGGATTTGCTGAGCTACTGAAATCTATAAGTTTATGTCTTTCGCCAAATTACGGAAGTTTGGGGCCTTGATTTCTTCAAACATATTTTTCTGGCCTAACCTCTTTTTTCCCTCTCCTTCTAGCACTCCTGTGACATACATGTTTTCTCATAGGTCCCTGGAGTTCCATCTATATTTTTAAAATCTTGTTGTTGTTGCTCAGATACAATTTTATCACCCTGTCTTTAAGTTCACTGGCTTTTCTTTCTGTCATTCTGTTACTGGGCCCACCTAGTGATTTGTTGCTATTATTTATATTTTTCAGTTCTACAATTTCTATTTGGTTTTTCTTCATAGTTTCTGTTTCTCTGCTAAGAATTTATATTTTTGTTCGATTCAAGTATATTTTCCTTTACCTTTTCAAGCATAGTTATGGTACCTGCTTTAAAGCCTTTGTCTAATCTGACTTCCAGGTCATTCAGAGCTGCCATCTGCTTTCTTTCCCCTTAAATATTGGTCTTTGTTGTTGTTGTTGTTGTTATTTTATGTTAAATGATTTCAGATTGCATTTTGGACATTGTGAATGTAATGTTGTATTAACACTAGGTCCTGTTACAATATTCTGGAGAATTGGTATTTTTATTTTTGCTGTCAGCTGCTTTTATCTCATTTGTTATATTGATTTGAGCCTGTTTTGGTGCAAAGATTAATCTAAGACTTGTGTGCATGCTTCAGATCTCAGCTCAGTTCTTTAAGACTTTTCTTCATTAGCTTAGATATGTTTTGCGCTACTGCTATTCAGGGCTTAGGCTGAGACCTGGACATTCCACTCTCAGTTCACTTCATAAGGCCTTTGCCATGATGGTCTGAATTTGAACTGCATGTATATAGCACAGACGCGATTCTTAGACTGTTGTTCATACACAGAATTAAAGTATTTTCTTCTTCAACTTTCTCCACTCCTGGATTTCCTCCACGCTTTTCAAACCATGGGGACTTTTTTTCTTCCTGGATCTTTGAGCCAAAACATTAGGGCTTCTATTAGTGTTTAGCTGCAAATTCTACCATGCTGCTCTGTGGAGGATTCCCACCCTTGGGGCAAACCTAAGAGGAAAATAAAGTCAAACTTCTCGCCATGCAGTTGTACTCCCCTCTACAGTCTACCTGCTTTCCTTATTTTCAAAATGTTCAGATAGTTTATTGGCATCCATAGTTTTAGTTCGGATCTGCAAGAAGGTTGGCTTGTAGTGGGTTTACATTTGCCATGTCAGCACTGGAGTGTCTTAGGCTTTGTTCTTGTTGTCCTTTTAATGAATCCTATATTTTCTGCTCCATTTTAATTTATTAATAAATAATTAGGCAAGATTACGGAAAGGTTAGAAGTTCAATAGAATTCTAAAATGATGCTATTTAAAACTTCGCAAAGGAGGAATGAATAGCACACAGAAGTATTTGACTTTACGTGGCTAGTAAAACAAAACTTTGATGGCATAGCCACCATGTCTCATGAGAGGAGGAGAGTCAAACAATTTCAGAGTTTTCCTAACAACTTAGTGGTCATTAGATTTGCTTTAATGAGTAACGATCAATAAAGCTAATAAGCATACTATTTGCAAAAGAAAGGTTTTTTTCCACACAAGTTTAAATATCATTCTTATATCAGGTTAGAGAGCCTGCAAAATAGCAAATAATAGCACAGACATACAACGCAATTAACTTTTTTATCCATCTTCAAGTCAATATAATTTTAATAACAGTGGAAAATCTGGATTTATAACAGCTTACTATATTTTATTAGCTAATTCGCTTTTTAAATAGATTTTTAAATCCTTTTGAAAAAACTATGCTTGATTTCTTTTTTTAATATTTTCCTTAAGGTGGCTGATATGGGCTTTTCTAAACTCCTTTTCATTAAATCACAGATACTACCAGAGCAAAAAGAAGCCAGGAGAGTGATGGTGTTGAATACATTTTCATTTCCAAGCATTTGTTTGAGACAGATGTACAAAATAACAAGTATGTGGACATTTTTGAGAATTTTCATGTGACTGTTTTTGATGAGCACATGCCTGTTCAGTTTTAGACAACTGAGAGTCCCCCTCCATTTGAAATGTATTTTAGTTATCATGATAATATTTGAAACAGATGAAAAGGTAATACTTTGGTTGGTAATTATTAATCTTCACCTCTAATTTTTTAGTAACCTGGATTTGCTTCATTTCTATAAAATATGTAGGCATTATTTTCCAGAATGAGGGAAGGTTGCAAGTGTCTTATTCTGACCTCCTGCCAGCCCACTAATTGAATCTTAACATACAATTTGGATAGAATTTTACTTCAAAAACTAATGAACAACTATGTAGTATATCACTAGTTTCAGCATCTGCTTCCACACCCGCATCTCATTCTCTCATTGGCTCTTCTAAAAATTGAAATGATGGTAATTAACTTTCTGGTGCCGTCTCCTCTAGCTAGCTCCAAGCCCACCCCATTGCTTCCCATCCAGGTTTTCCATCTGCTGAGGCATGAATATTTTAGGCTATCAGAAGCAATATGTGTTTTAATGCAGGATCGTGGATTTTTATTGAAACATCGAAATGCTTTTTTCGAATTTGGCGCAGTGACTGTGTTTTTATAGCACATGATCGGCTGCCCTGGCTCCATTAGCCACCACCCAGTGCCTCTAGTTCTGAAGCTGGGCTGGGTTAGTCTGTAGCATGCAATGAAATTCCAGTAGTTTCTATTGTTTGGCTTATTCACCATTTTATTGCACTGCATTAGTTCTGAAAAAAAGGTGGCGGGGGGGCGGTGATGGAAAACATTAGAGCCCTACTAGACTAAAGTACTTTTTTTCTGCTTAAGTGTAATTTAAGCAAGTGTTACTGATTTGAAAATGTAAAATAAAATATTTTCTAAAAATTGACATTTTGAAATACTTGGCTCTGTTTATTTTATTAAACATAGTTTTAAAAAATTACATGTTCAACAGAAACGACTTCTACTTATGAATTTTATCTTGCCACCTATAATTATTTTAAATTCACAAATGATTCTGATGCATCTAATTTTTTACAGGTTTATTGAATATGGAGAATATAAAAACAACTACTATGGCACAAGTATAGACTCAGTTCGGTCTGTCCTCGCTAAAAACAAAGTTTGTTTGTTGGATGTTCAGCCTCATGTAAGTAAACAATGAACTATTCAATATCCTTCTGACCCACGTCATGTACAGCACCTTATGTGAGCATTTCAATATGAAATACATATGAAATCAACTCGCTTTTGGCATATATTTGGCTTTTCTGAGATGGCAAAAGCATTTAAATGTAATTTGAGACATCTTTGGTGGAAAAAAAGAAAAGCCCATAATATTATTAGAAAAGAGAAGTGGCGGAAGCTCCAAGACCTGCGTTTGTAACACCTATTTATATCCAGTTTTTGTCAAGTAAAGCAGCTCTTAGATATTTCTATGTATTCTGTATTTTTAAAAAATATATCACATTGTGACATGCATAATGCATTCTTATGTGTTATGTATTGGTATCAGTGTCTATAATTTTTAAAAATGGATATTTTGGCTCCAGGTCTTTGACTTCGGTTCTGTATATATCCTAGCAAATACCCCCCACTAGAACTGAACGGCGTTTTACAGGAACTGTACTGAATGAAAGCCCCATTGCAACTGCCAGATCTGCACCTGTCATCCTGGACACTCCATTATGAACGTTCTGAACTGAGAATGTCAGTGTATGAAGCCATTCAATCCCCTATCAAACCATGTATCTTCCAGCAGACTCCCAGCCCACAGCATTTTCCTCATTTCCCAGGGACCATGGTTTATCTTTCCTCTGATGGCTGCACTCTGCGGTGCAAAACCTCCAAATACTAGAATGACCTGCAGAAGCCCTTTGCACCTCTAAAGGAAGATGAATCTGGAGTAAGAGGGTTTCAACAGTCATCAGGGAGGCTGCCTCCTGACTTGGGCACTATGTTAGTCCATTATTGAATTGCTATAAAGAAATACCTGAGACTGGGTAATTTATTTAAAAAAAAAAAAAAAGACGTTTAATTGGCTCATGGTTCTGCAGACTATACAGGAAGCATGATGCTGGAGAGGCCTCAGGAAACTTAGTCATGGCGGAAGGCAAAGGAGGAGTGAGCACTTCACATGGCTAGTGCAGGAGGAAGAGAGAGAGCAGGGAGGCGCCACACACTTTTAAGCAACCAGATCTCACAAAAACTGACTATTGCAATGACAGCACCAAGAGGAATTGTGTTAAACCCTAAGAAACTGCCCCTGTGATCCAGTCACCTCCCACCAGGCTGCACCTCCGGCGGTGGGGATTACATTTCAACATGGGATTTGGGTATGGACACAGATCCAAACCATATCAGGCACCAACAGTGAACGGGACAGTCCTGCTTATGCAGAGCCTCTCTGCTGGTGTCCCAGGTACAGTTGCTCTCAGACTCCCACAGTGTAGTTTCAGCTCATCAAGGATAACTTTCAGCTCCTACCGTTGATTATCGATGGGTTCCCAGAAGCATAGAGTATAGAACATCGACTGTTTGATGAAGCAATGTGAACAGGCTTCAGGGAGAGCAGGAGGCTGCCCTTGCAGGGCAGTCTGTAGCTTAGGGTGAAAGAGGAGAACTCCTGCCTGAAATCAGGAAGGGGCTTATAAGGGATGGTTGGAAGACGTTCATGGACAGAAGTTGATTTAACTCATCACACCTTTGGGATATTTGATCTAAAAACCAGTTTTGTGATATTTTTAGCCACTTCTGTTCAATGTTAATTATGATATATTTTGGAACATTTTTAAATGCTCTTACATTCCTCAGCTTTTTATATAGGTGTTTATTACATTTAATTGTCAATAGTTAATTGAATAATAATATATTGAGAGGACTACTGATCTTAAAGAATAATTTCAAGGAATTTTCTCCTTAGAAAGAAAATTCAGTAATTCATGATGCTATGGAGAAATGTGAGAAAACTTTCTTTTCTTCCTTGTAGACAGTGAAGCATTTAAGGACACTAGAATTTAAGCCCTATGTGATATTTATAAAGCCTCCATCAATAGAGCGTTTGAGAGAAACAAGAAAAAATGCAAAGATTATCTCAAGCAGGGATGACCAAAGTGCTGCAAAGCCCTTCACAGTAAGTATAATGATACTTGGGGGCCAGGTGTGGTGGCTCACACCTGCAATCCCAGCACTGTGGGAGGCTGAAGCAGGAGGATCACTTGAGCCCAAGAGTTTAAGACTGGCCAACATGGTGAAACCCCATCTCTACAACAAATACAAAAATTAGCCAGGCATGATGGTGCACACCTGTATTCCCAGCTACTTGGGAGGCTGAGGTGGGAAGATCACAAGATCCCAGGAGATTGAGAGTGCAGCGAGCTGAGATCACACCACTGCTCTTCAGCCTGGGCAACAGAGTGAGACCCTGTCTCGACAACAACCACAAAAAGCTTGGGGATAAGATATAAGCGGTAGATATAAGCAGTAGATAAGACATAAGATATAGTCGTATGTCTGAAAACGTACATACAGCTGCAAGTACTCGGGAAGAGTATAGTAGATCAAAAAATCAGTCAAAGAATTGTATTTAGGTACATACCTTTTGAATAGTTACACTTTTTGCGCTTTGGTGAATGGATCTTCATATTCAATTGACTCAAAGCTATTTTATATGCTGTTATGCATATATTTCATACTACTGTAGGCCAAACATTTGTATAAAATCTAGACCAATTAATTTACAGAGCAGCTTATTTTGAAGCTAAAAATACCATCAGTTACTGTTACTCATTAAGAGTCCAAATGAAAAATTTAATAACTTGCCTTGCCTGTCTCCTTGGGTCAATAATTACATTTAGCACAGCAAAAGAAAATCACTATTTTGGGTATAACATAAGTAGACCAATATTATTCAGCAATAATATTTGTATTTTCTATGAGTGTTATTGGAAATGATGATTGTGATATATTCATGAATATAATGGCTTCTGGCAAGACCTTTTATTGTTTTTGTTCTTAATCTTAAGATAATATAGTCTACCTTTGGACCAAAAATCAAAAGCAAAGAAATTAAATGTCAAAAGCTTATTTCTTTCTTCCCTCTCTTAATTAGCTCATCGTTAACTTTAGTCTGTATTAATTTATGAACTGTTCATTGTGGTTACAAAATATAGATCACATTTCTGATTCCCAGTATATTTGATAAATACCTTTTTTCACATGCCAACAGTACATATTCGTTCTGAGTAGGTACTGTCATGTGATGTTAGTTACTTAGACTCTTGATCAACACTAAAATTAAATTTTCTGTTATTGTGAAATCTTATGTGACAATGAAATGCAGACTCAAATTATTTCAGCATGTTGCAACATAAAGATATATTGTACTATTTAGACATTTTAAAGGTTTTTCAATGAAGATAAGAAAGGATAACATAGGATTTGGCTCTCTTACATTTATGTTATATAGCCAACTAAAATACTTCCTGGTTTTAAAAATGTGAGACACGAAGGCTCCTGAAACACTTCTAATGAGACATAGAAAGAACGTGGTAATTGTCTGGGCGTGGTGGCTCACGCCTGTAATCCCAGCACTTTGGGAGGCTGAGGCAGGTGGATCACTTGAGGTCAGGAGTTCCAGACCAGCCTGGCCAACATGGAGAAACCCTGTCTCTACTAAAAATACAAAAATTAGCCAGGTGTAGTGGCATGTGCCTGTAATCCCAGCTACTCAGGAGGCCGAGGCAGGAGAATTGCTTTAACCATTGAGGCAGAGGTTGTGGTGAACTGAGATTGCGCCACTGCACTGCAGCCTGGGTGACAAAGTGAGACTTCGTATCAAAATAAAAAACATGGTAATCATCCATTTACAAATGTGTCCAACTTTGAAAAAGGAGTTTATATTATAAATTCCTTCCTATGAATAAGCATAAATAATGCAGCCAAAACATCAGAGTAAACAATTCTTTTCTCTAATAGCTATTTTAATACTGATGTATCCCCATAATGATGAGTTAGTGACTCATTATCCTGCAATTCAGTTAAGGCAGGAGTTTTGACTCTTGCCAGAGTAGTTTTTGTTACAAGCAAATCAGAGAAATAGTATTAGAAATTATGGCTTCTGAAGCACTTGTGGTTAAAGAGGATGACTTTTATTTCTGGCTAAGGGGAAAGACTGAACACAGAATAGCATTAGGTAAACCAATTGTAGAATGTTTGCATTGATGTGAAGTGAGGTAATGGCCTGGTTAACCAATTATTTTTTTAATACTTCCTTTCGTAGGAAGAAGATTTTCAAGAAATGATTAAATCTGCACAGATAATGGAAAGTCAATATGGTCATCTTTTTGACAAAATCATAATAAATGATGACCTCACTGTGGCATTCAATGAGCTCAAAACAACTTTTGACAAATTAGAGACAGAGACCCACTGGGTACCGGTGAGCTGGTTACATTCATAACTAAGAGAAATTTCCATAATTTTCTTTTTTATAGAGTGCATGATGAAATCAATTACTGTTTTGGTAGTAGGCTTTAAAATCTATATCACTGTCATAGATGTACAATTTTGGTTCAGGTTGAATGCTGTTTGTTTGCATCTTTTTACAGCCTTATTTCAAATCCCATATGTGAGTATGAGATCTGCAATCAAAATGTGCACAGTACTGTATGCTTAGCAAAACCTCAAACCTTCTGGCTGTCTTTAATACAGCTCTATCTCCAAGATGAGGCTGAGATTTTCAGAGAGACCTAGGTAGAGGCTTAGTAGGTATTGGAGTTCAGTGCTCCAGCTGGTCTCAGGTATGGCTGCTGTTGTCAAGTTCGAATGTTAGCCCTTGAAGGTATCAATTCAGTAGCCATGAGCAGCTCCAGACAGACAGGACAGTTTTGCTGTTTCCAGTGGATCATCACAGATTTAGCTGGGCTGGCAGTAAGGCATCCTCCAAAAGTGCAGACTTTTTCTTACCTACTCGCGATACATTCACAGTGTGTGCATTTTAAAATCCTTCTTAAAGGAGTAACTGAAATTTTACCTTGAGTGAATGGCCTCCATAGTATAGCTTGAGAAGTCCTTTTGAGTACCTGTCATGACTCAACAAATATTTAATAAGGGAAAGTAGCCTTTTAACAGTTATTATATAAGTAACTAAAAGCCTTTCCTTGTGGAATTAATATTAGTACCAATGGTAGAGTCTTGTGGCAAGAAATGATTACAAAGGATATTTTTATTTGTAAATCCTCAGAAGACATTTATGAAGTCATCCAAAATGGTATTTTAGCTGTTTTTGGATTTTCCCAATAAATTAGAAGAAGAATTTCTATTCTAAAACATGTAAAACATGTTTTACATGTTACTTATACAATTAAAGAAAAACTAAAGATTATTTTTCATATATGTGCAATAGATCACCCTCTCTTTAAGTTGCTCTAAGATATGTTTTAGAAAACTTTTCATGTAATGTTAATTTATTTATTTGTCATCAAAATGATTCTTAATACTGTCCAGGCACCATCCTAACCTTGCCATTGTTAAAGAAGTTTAAGAAAGACTCTTACATTGTAAATATTTAGATGGGAGCTCTCACTTTTCTTTGATACTACTGATTTTCAGCAAGTGAATTATATACTTCAAAATGCTAGAAATGACTGTACGTTCTATAAGAGAACATATCCTGCCATTCTTGCATGCAGTGAAGCCCTGCCAGTCGAAAATCATTGCATTTGTGACTTTTCAAAGAGAAAAAAAAATGTTATTTTTTGTTGATTTGTAAAGAGAGTTTAAATGTCATGTTAAAAAAAATAGAATGTAGAAAAATTTTATATATTTATGAAATATTTGAAAGGCATATTTTTTTAAATATCAAATGGGGCTATTCATAAAATAAGTTGATTGTATGTCAAGATGTCCTAATTTAAAAGAGTAGTTTTGTAAATCAAGGTCACATTCCATGTGAATAGTTGAGCTTTGCACAGGTAGATCCAAGTATGCTATCTGTGCACAGCACATTAGATAGCATGATTCACTAGTTTTCCTTCAGACTTTTGAAGTTCATATTAGAAACAGAGACAGAAACCACTCCTGTGGCCTTGACACATAGTCACACCAAAACAGATGATCAGACTAAGTATTATACAACAACATGATCCAGACAGTGAGTTCTAAGTGTATTAATTATATAGCATCGATTTTGTTTTTAAAAAATGAAAGAGGGAGGGTTGCTAATCTGAAGTCTTAAGTAGATTGTTTGGGTAGCGTATTCCCTTCTTTAAACGTTGTCTAAAAGTGTCTATAAATCAAGACTTCTGGTACAAACAATGATGGGAACTAAGTAATAATTCAGGCAATCACCAGAGTCATTTAGGTAGTCCAAATCTTTTGCCCTGAAATACCCACATTAAAAAATAAATGCAGATAATTACTTCAGTTCTTTACTTTGGGGACAGAGATAAAGGATAAAGTGAAAGAAACAGGCTTTTTTTGGTGGTGGCAATAATGGAATGTTATAAAAATATAACGTTTTAAAAAAGAAGGGTCCAGACCTTTATTTAGGGCCAGAGCTAGAACAATATGTTTTAAATAATGGGGGAGAAAACAGGGGCACTTTGGCAATTTGAGAAATCAGTATAGTTATTATTATTATTATTATTATTATTATTATTATTATTATTGGAGGCAGGGTCTTGCCATGTTGCTCAGGCTGGTCTTGAACTCCTGGGCCCAAGCAGTCCTCCTCCCTTGGCCTCCCAAAGTCCTGGAATTACAGGTGTGATCCACCATGCCCAGCCAGTAGACATAGTCTTAAAAATAGTGTCTACATGGCCACCTTGGTGCTTAGAAAGATATTTGATTAAAATTTAAGGAGGCAAGGCCAACTCCAAGAGTTCATTGATAGCTGCAGCCCAAAGGCCCTGAATTCTATACTTTCTTCCTCCAGCCTCCTTCTCTAGCAAGAAGAATAGCACTCCTCCCTCTAGAAGTCAGCTCTCAAGTTCGAGTGTTAGCCACTATGTAAGAGAATAGGAATGTTCACTTTTTAAAGTTTGTATATTTAAAATCCAAGACCAAAAAGGAAATTCTGTACTTCTATAATTGACTAAAGTTAGTTAAACATAAAAAGGTGAAATTAAAATTCAATTTTTTACCCTTGTTTTACTGAGCAATATGGAAGTTCTTGGTATCTTTAAGGCTGATCTTCCTGGTATTGTGTAATGATTTAATGTATCTAAACTGCAATAATTTGAAATTGACAAATGTAACCTTCTCAGACTTACAAAACTATGTTCTTAAAATCTTTCTAAAGATACAGATTTTTATTATTTATTTTCTTTTGACTAGGAAGGATTTATAAATGTAATGGAAAATCTTTGATCTTAATAAAGTACCTTCAAACAATGTGTGTACTTGAAAATTGTTTTTGCACTTGGATATTATATTTTATTATACTACTGTTCTGATCTGTTCTATTATACTATTTCCCATGGTAGAACAAATTCTATTTTCTACTGTGATATGAAGTGATGTAATTGAACTTGCCATGTCTAAAATTAAATTCAACATTTTTTTTCAGTCAAACACTGCTTTCATCAAGGTTGTTGGAGAGATGGAATTCACTAGTGTTGTTCTCACCCATATAGTCTGGCAATTTAAAACCGTCGAGAACCACAGGGGGAAGGAATTAGGACCATCAAATGGTGGGAACATCCCTCCCCCACTCCCCACCCCTTCCCCTCCTCCCCATTAGGAATCAGCGTCACAGGCATCCTCTTCCTGAACTCAAGTTAGGCTAAATTCAACTTTTCCAGCTGTGCATATGGGAACAAACTGGCATCTGCTTATGCAAATTAGCTAGCATTGGCCTTGCTTCAGTCCTCGAGCCAGTCAGCCCCAGCTCTGCATCCACAGAAAGGTTGTCTTTAAGAGCATTTAAAAGCATTTAAGAGCGTGGGATTTAGAGTCAGAATTCTTTAGTTCATGTTCTGGTATTGCCTGTTACCAGCTCTGCAGCCTTGAGAAAAACATTGAACCTCTCTGTTCTTCATTTTCTCTTAAAAAAAATAAATAAATAAGAAGAACAGTGATTACCTTATGGTATGGGGTGGGGATGAAATGAAAGAATCCATGTATTCTTAAAACAACACCTGGAACAGAAGTGCTCAATAATTGTGAGCTCCTGTTTTATAATGGTCATTATCATGACATCACACAGTTTAAAAATAGCTGTATAAATATTTTCAATCACCCTACATAAACAGTTTCCCTATTAATACTCACTGGAGATTTACAATAAATAATTTATTAGCAGCTTTATTATTTAAAAAAAATTTCATAGCTTCCTACCAAGTGATACATTAGGAACTAATTAGGTAATCCCCAATAGGAAGTGAACCAATTTTTATTTTTAACCACTAGGTATGCAATGTAACCGATAACAGAAAGAAATGTCCCTTAATTGTATTAATGCCCTTTCCTCTGCTGCCACCCTTTTCTCCCCAAATGTATGCTCAGTTACAATTAAGCTTCTGGAGGACAGGAAATAGTTTACTTTTGTAACAGCAATCTTATACAGGCCTAAACACTGGTTGGCAAAATTGTACTTATTAATCAGAGAAAGTCTTTATAATTTCCATACATGATCTTATTTAATCCCACGACTATTTGGAAGATATTATCTTCATATTTTGCAGTGGAGCGAACTGAGCCGCAGGGCTGGAGTACCTTGCCCACAGTGACACAGGTGATGAGCAGTGGACTTAGGGTTGGAGTGTCGTCTGGCATCCTCCAGCTCCGTACTGTTTCCACTGCATTGCACTTAATAGTGTTTCTGTAACTTGAGCTAAAGCTGGAAACAGGTTAAGATTTGAGTAATCAGAGGAATGATTGTTCACTCTTAATGCACATGCAGTTGGCAAAGAATTTTCTCAAAACACTGTTGCTTTAGTCAGGTACAACTTGATGTATCTGTACCCGTATCTAGGAGTTAATTTTCTAACAATGGATATTACTAGAAATGTATTAAAAACTTAGCATACTATGAAATTTTATGTTAAGTCTGTCTGAGTTCCAGACCCTACTCAAGATTGGACTCAGTCAATCATGATAATCTCCTCTCTGTAGTGATTTATCTGGGCTGGTCATGCTACCAATTCGAGGTCATGTCTGTTGGAGGAGCTATGAGAAAGAAACATTTCCTTAATTAAAACAACTGCATGAAATGAAAATCCTTTATAGTCCTGTCCTCATCTTCCTGCTTGAGATGCTTATCAATATGGCAGCTATAATCCTAACCTGACATCAGAGGATGACAAAGGCCAATCAACTAAGGATGACTGAGTGAGAAGGATCCTAAATCCAGAATATTGAACTGCTGAGCCAATCCTGGGACTTCCCCTAACTGTTAAATTTTTTTAAAAAAAATGTTCTGATGGTTTAAGTCACTGCTTCCTTGCTGCTGAAATCACTCCTAATTTGAAACAGTGTTCATGAGCCACTCAGGCTATTCTCAATATCTACTTTTCACTTAGCAGAAGCTGTCCTTTTGCCCAGCAGTCACATGCCCTGCATTGATACAATTACTGAGCATTAATACACTCTATAGAATGGTCCAAAGCAAGACATCCCATTTAAATTTTGTTTTTCTAGGATTTCATTTTTTTCCTGCTCAATATGGATAAGAATTTAACCTTAAAATTCAGTTCAGAAAAAAGTTGCTCTTAATGTTTTTGGATTTACAAATGTATGATGGTTGTGTTCTATTAGTCACTCAAAATTTATTATAAATTAAAAGGCTGACTAAACACTGCAGAGTCTACCATTTCAAACAAAGTAATGCCTGTTTTATTGTTTAATTTGACTCGGGCAAGAATTATACCACAAGGTTTCATTTGTTAAGCCCTTGCTCTGTGCCAGGCATTGCCACTTAGTAGTAGATAGCAGCTCTTTGTGATCTTCAGTTTCACTTAAACATAGAAAAGTTCTAAATAGAAATATATTTGAATAACTATAAACTATAGCTACAAAACATTTATTGCTGTAAATGTTAGAACACAGTGTAGCATAAACTTATGAAAATATATTACTATCAGGAATCTAGAAGATATAAAAATAACTGAGGATAGAAGAAGGGAGAGAGCAACATAAATGTTGTTATTATCAGTTAAATAATTATTTTTTAAGAATTTGACCAGCATGGGCAACATGGTGAAACCCTGTCTCTACCAATAAAAAAGAAAAAAGTAAAAGAGCCGGAAGTGGTGGTGTGCACTGGTAGTGCCAGCCACTCAGGAAGCTGAGGTGGGACGATTGTTTGAACCTGGGAAGTTGCTGCAGTGAGCTGTAATCGTGCCACTGCACTCCAGCCTGGGCAATGGAATGAGACCCTATCTCAAAAAAACAACAAAACATAACAAAACAGAAAAATAGAAAGCAATTTCCAGTGGGACTGTAATTAAATATAAAGAACCAAAAAGAGAATTTAAAAAATGAGATGACAGAAGCAAGACTAACTATCTCTAACAAGGGATGTAAATGGCATAAATTCATGTATTGAGATATTTCAACTATATTGAAAAATGTAACCAACTGTATGCTTCCACATGAGAAAGATTTTAAGTGAGAGGATTAGCTACAATATGCCAGGCAGATGCAAACAGAAAGCAGAGAACACAAAAATAATAACACCACAGTTAAAATCGATGCTTATTAATTGAGTCGAAAAGTTGTTCTTTCGTAATTAATGCTACGAGCCACTGCAGGAAGAGCACTGAAGGCCCAAAACAAAACATGAGAGACATAATCAACAAAACCACATTATTTGATAATCTGTAAAACACATCTCTTAGACCTTGAAGAAAAATGGTTAAGAGGGTCTGAATATCATAATTTTTCAGGCTGATATCAAGCAGT